AGTGGAGAAGGGATTGTGGTGTGGTCATCCCCCTGGGGGGTGATTTCTCGCTTTTTGTCTGTCTCTCTTTATCTTTCTGGTGAGCGCACGCACCCTACAGCAAAAACCTCTCCAAAAAAAAAAAAAAAAAGCAAGCAAAAGCTCATTACAGAAGCAGAACAAACAGATAAGCAGGTTTATCATTCCTAGGAGTATATTCAGTCCCTGCCTAAACAAAATGGCATCACAATGGTCTTCAGGGCTCTGGTAACTGGAGATTGTATGTTAAAGCAACTAGGAGTGGGGTTTAAAGACAATAGGAGGGACCAGCAGTTGGCGTAATGGCTATATAGCTGGACTCCCATGTAGTCAACAGCAATTCGAGTACCAGACCCGGTGGCTTAAACTCATGCCGGGCGCATGTGCGTGCGTGCCTAAAATCCAGAGGAGAATGGAGGAGGGATTGCGGTGTGGCCATCCCTTTAGGGGATGATTTCTCCCTCTCTGTCTCTCTGTCACTCTATGTCTTTCTGGCAAGTGCACGTGCCCTATAGCAAAAACCCCTCAAAAAGAAAAAAAGTAAAAATAAAAACACAGCATGCTGGACATGTATGCATGCCTGCATGCCCAAAAATCTCAACAAGATGGAGAAATGGAGAGAGGATTTCAGTATTACCACACCCTATTGGGGATGCTTTCTCCTTCTCCTTCTGGGAGCACACATGCCCTCTAGCAATAAAAAGAAACATGAAAAAGGATTTGGCAAAATCCAATACCCTTTGGTGATAAAAATACTCAACAAATTAGGAATAAAAATTAACCTCCCTGGGACCAGCAGTTAGTGTAATGGCTATGTCACTCAACTCCCATGTAGTCAACCGCGGTTCGAGTCCTGGACCCAGTGGCTTAAACTCATGCCGGGTACGTGTGCGTGCGTGCCCAAGATCCCAAGAGGAGAGTGGAGGAGAAGGGATTGCGGTGTGGCCATCCCCCCTGGGGGGGTGATTTCTCGCTTTCTGTCTCTCTGGTTCTCTCTGTCTCTCTGGTGAGCGCACGCACCCAAAAAAAACTAAAAAAACCTCACAGCTCAGGCCAGCAGGTGGTGTGATGATTAAAGGCACTGGATTCCGTTGGGGCTGGCAGGTGGTGTGGTGGTTATGGGCGCTGGACTACCACATGGCTAACCATGGTTTGAATCCTGGACCTGGCGTCTTGCTTTCTCACTTTCCCTCTCTCTCTCTGTCTGTCTCTCTTTGGTCAAATAAAAAAATAATTAATGAAATTAAATAAAATACTGGGGCTGGCAGGTGACATGGTGGTCAAGGGCGCTGGACTCCCACATGGTTGACCATGGTTCAAATCCCAGACCTGGTGGCTCACTTTCACTGTCTTGTCTCTCACTCTGTCCCTCTCTGATCAAATTAAATAATAAAGTTAAATAAAATAAATGAAAAATTAAAAAAAAAAAAGAAATTAAAGGGAACCAGAAGTTAGCATAATGGCTATGTCGCTGGACTCCCACATAGTTGACCACAGTTCACATCCCGGACCCGGTGGCTTAAAACTCACGCCGGGTGCATGAGCGTGCGTGCCCAAGATCCCGAGAGGAGAATGGAGGAGAAGGGATTGCGGCGTGACCATCCTCCCTGGGGGGTGATTTCTCGCTTTCTGTCTCTATGTCTCTCTCTGTCTGGCGAGTGCACGCACCCTATAGCGAAAACCTCTCCAAAAAAAAAAAAAATTAAATACTAAAAACATCACAGCTAACTTCATATTGAATCCTCAGAAAAGTCATGACGCATTTTTGCATAGAAAAAATACCTCGTGACTGTTTTTTTGGAGAGGTTTTTGCTATAGGGTGTGTGCGCTCGCCTGAGAGAGAGACAGACAGAAAGTAAGAAATCACCCCCTAAAGGGGATGGCCATGCTGCAATCCCTTCTCCTCCATTCTCCTCTCAGGATCTTGGGCGTGCACCCAGCGTGAGTTTAAGCCACGGGATCTGGGACTTGAATCACAGTTGACTACACGGGAGTCCAGCAACATAGCCATTATGCCAACTGCTGTTCCCAGGGGTGCTTCTCTTTCTCTTGCATGTGCACCTGTATACGCTATCATGAATAACATTTTTTAAAAAAAGGAAAGGCCAATGTAGCTGGGTAACATTGAGTGTTCATTTACAAAGTTATGTGGATTTACCATATGTCCTAGACACTATATCCAGAATCAAAAATGCCCTTATGCACTTAAATATCTAGTTTTTTTTTTTTTAATGTTTTTTTTGCCATAGGGTGCATGAGCTCATTGGAGACAGACAGTGAGAGAGAGAGAGAGAGAAATTACCGCCCCCCCCCCTTCAGGGAGCACAGCCATGCTGTAGCCCTTTCTCTTCTGGGATTTTGGGCACACAGGCACAAGAACCTGGCAGGTTTGGGACTCCATGTGGGAGTCCAGCGCCATAACCACTACACCACCTGCTGGCCCCCACTATCTAACTTTTATATGACATTTAGTAAATGTGAGACACTGTATTCATTGCTGTATGTATTGGGTTATCTAAATAGTCATGATGCATTTTTAAAAAAAATTATTATTTTATTTGATGAGAAAGAGAGAGGAGAGAGATAAAGAGAGGAAGAGTGAGAAAGCAAGCCACCAGGCCCGGGACTCAAACCATGGTTGGCCAGGCAGGAGTCCAGTGTCCCAACAATCATGCCACCTGCCAGTCCCCGTGATGCATTTTGAGAGAAAAAAATATGTCATGACTTTTCCAATGACCCAAAATATTAGGTCACTTATTTACTTTTTTTTTAGAGGTTTTTGCCATAGGGCACATGCCCTCACCAGAGACAGAAAGAGGGAAAGTGAGAAATAAACCCTCATGGGTGATGCCCACACAATCCCTTCTCCATTGTTTTCCTGGGATTTTGGGCATGTATACACATGTGCTTGGTGTGATTTTTTTGTTGTTACTGTTGATGTTTGTACTTTAAAGTACATGTACTGACCAGAGAAACACGGTGTACTTTAAAGTACAAGTACTCACCAGAGAGAAACACGGTGAGAGGGAAGCTGAGAAATCACCCCCCCCAGGATCTTGGGCATGCACACACACGTGCCCAGCATGATTTTCAAGTCACCAGGTCTGGGACTTCAACCGCAGCTGGCCATGTGGGAGTCTAGTGACCTAACTACTATGTCATCTGCTGGCCCTGCTGGTTCGGTGTCATGGAGCATGAATCAGCTGAATGGTACTGAAGTGACACTGCAAGATTTTCAGCCTAGAAAGCCCATAATCAATGCATGTTGAAGGCCTAATGTTTTAGTGCAAAAAACTTTGAAATATATGCTTCCTCACCCCTGTAACGTACATTTCCCACAAACTTTTAAAATTTTATTTTACTATTATTTTTAATTTATTATACGGCATGTGTCTTCCCCAGAGACAGTGAGAGAAAGCAAGCCATCAGGTCTAGGGCTCGAATCATGGCTGGCCATGTGCTGGTCCAGCACCTTAACCACATCATGTGCTGGCCCTTCCCACAAACTTTTTGAAGATAGCGTTATCTGAAGTTTTTTCAAGGCCATAGAATTAGTGCTATTCCTGTCAAATACTGATTTAGCCAGATTTCTGAATCCAGTAATTTAGAATTTAATGCTTAAGACTCATTCTCATAACTGTGCATGGGATACAGAATATTTTTTAAAGAATTATTTATTCTTTTTCATTTTTTTCATTTTGACCAGAGAGAGACAGAGAAGGAGAGAGGGAGAGTGAGAAAGCAAGCTGCCAGGTCAGGGACTTGAACCATGGTCAGCCACATGGGAACCCAGCACCTTAACCACCACACTCCCTGTCGCCCCCTGAGAATGCCACATTTTACAAAGAAATCAAGATTAGGATCGCCAGGACCTGGTCCATCTGACCCTACTGTTCTCTGGAGTTCTGCAAGAGCCCATGTGGTCCACGTTCCCATCTGTCTCCCCGATGAAGCCTTCAACATACACCGATTATGGGCTTTTTAAGCTGAAAATCTTCCAGTAGCACCTCAGTACCATTTGGCTGATTCATGCTCCATGACACCGAACCTGGAGTTTCCAATCTTCCATGCCCTACACCTGGCCCCTCTGTCTACCAGCAGATTTCTGTTCACTTTCAAGACCAAACTGGTGTTCCTCTTCACACCTTTCCTGTCCAGCAAGTCAAGTGCTTTTCTGTGTTTCCACAGAATCTCTTTACGTGCCTTGAACAGACAGTAACAGAGCAACATCTCCTTTCTGCTCAGTTTCTATCTCTGAGAGGGCCTGCGGCCAGTGTCTAATAAGCAGCCAACGTCAAAGGTTCCAGTTGTCAGCATGTCACTGAATCCTATAGGCATGGATCTGGCCTCTGAGGGAGCATACAGAACCAGCCCTCCCCAAGGCCAGTGCAGTAGTGTCCTTGGGTCTAGAAGGCTCTGGCACATCCCAGGTCCTTTGCACACATCACTCAAAGGTCTTTTTTTCCCACTTTATTGTTAGACACAAGGTATAAACACATAAAACAGAAAACAGCAGGGATCCTCTTAGGCCTCAAAACACAGCAAGGGAGGAAGAGGTCCCAGAAACATTTTTTAAAGTGTAAGACATATCAGTGCTTGGAATAAGGGCACAGAAGGCAGCCCGGGGCTTGCAGAACTGGACAAAAAGGCTCCTTCTCTCTCCCAGAGCCAGGACGGCCCCAGGGAACCCTCCACCAGCAGCCAAGGTCCACACAGCCAGATGCTGCCCAAGGAGAGCTCTGCACAACAGCACATGCCCCTCTGATGGGAGAAGGGCAGCGCATTGGGGCAACTAAAAGCTCCTTCCTTGCTCCTTGGAGAGCGACCACTGAGGAAAAGTGGTATCCCAGGTCTGACCCCTTCCCCAGCTGCTCCATACTGGCTTTGGCATTTCCCAAAACCGGTCCCAGCTCAGACCAACTACATCCACCATGTACTCAAAGATCACTGGGGAGGGCGGGGATGGGGATGAGGCTGGATGTGACACCAAACAGATCTTTATTTGCAGTCGTCACTGGGGCCGTTTCTTGCTGCTCATTTGTTTGCTAGCCTGCTCTTCCAGCTGCATGGCCAGGCGCAAGGCCTTGATGACATCTGGAAGGAAGGGGCGGTGGTGCATGTGGGGTTAGTGGGAGTCTCAGAGGCCCCCCACTCACTCCAGGCAGAGCTGCTGTCACCTGCAGTTGCCCAGAAGCCAGCAGAGGCCACCACTTACCATCTGCACCCTGTCCCCCTCCACACCTACCTTGCAGGGCTGAGAAGTGCGTGGCTTGCCGGGCCAGGGCAGATTCCGCTTTGTTCACAAAGGTCTCCAGGTCGTAGTCTGGCTGCTCCGTCATCTCAGAGAGCTCAAGCCAGCCTGGTCCTTGCTGCAACAATACAGAGGACCTTGACGGTTCAGTAACGACCAAACCTAGCGACAGAGCAAATCATTCCAGGGCCTTGCTGTCTGCAATACAGATGCCATGTAAGATGCCACAGCTCTATCCATGCCCAGACGCTGCATCCGTACACCTCCCTGAGGAACCGCTTACCTCCCGTTCATCCTCCTCTGCCCTCAAACTTGTCCCTGCTCCCTACGGCAAATGAATGACATCACTGATACTGATGCTCAAGCCTGAAGTCTGAGTGACGACTTTATCCATTCACCCTGCTTGGCAAATCCTGCCAGTTCCGCCCCTTAAATGTTCTTGAATCTTATGCCCTCACTCGAATTCCATGGCCAAGGCCATATTCTGTCTAGGCGCCAACATGTCTCTTGAACTCCATCCAACACTCTAACTGCCTCTGCCTCTAACCTCCTCAAGCCCCAAACCAGACCACACTGTGGCCACGGTGGATGTCTAATGCTCTCCTAGGCACTTGTCATCCCTCTGCTTAACTGCCTTCGAAGCTCCCAGTGTCCTCATATGAAGTCTAGCCTTTGGTACGAGGCCCTTTAACACCAGGCCCTGCTGAGCTGCTCACAGCCTTAACCTCCCTCAACTGCTCAAACTTTGTTTCTGACCAGTGAGCCTCTCACTCCTCTGAAAGTGCCATGTCCTTTTAAACCTTTGAATCCCTGAGTACTCCAGGAGGGGAGGGCCCGTCTTCCTTTTGGTTCTGTAATCCTGAGGGCCCTTGCCTGCTGTTCCATGGCAGGGATAGCAGCAATGGGATTTACCAGCAATTACACCTGACGGCATGCTGGACCGTGCTCAGGCTTAGTAGTCCAATACAACCAGCCAGACTCACCCATGTTAGGGAAGAAACCAAGGCCCACTAAGGCTTAATGACATTCGCAAGGAAATCAGCTTGTAAACAAAAGAGCCAAGATTAATCTCAAGTCCTACTTTAGATCCTACCACCTGTACTTGATGTTTCTGGCCCTTGGGTTTCAGCTTAGGAGCTGGAACACTCACTGAATAAACAAGACAGTATCCTTGCATATGAATTACCCTCCAAACCCTCAGGAGCAGGGAGGAGAGGTGAGCGCTAGTTAGGACAATGCAGGAAAGCAGATGTGCACTGGAGAAGCGAGTGTGGCACCAAATTGCCCTAGGAGGCCAGCTGGGTTAATAGGCAGAGAATAAGGGAGACAGTGTCCTCTCTGTTCCTGCGGGAGCACTCTGAGGCCAGGCCAGCTCCCCACCTGTACAATCTCCTTGAGCTCCTCCATGGCCCTCTCCTCCAGCTCCCTGATCTGAGTCATGGCTTCGTTAAAGCTGGACATCTGCGAAGACAGTTCCTCCTCTTCCTTGGAGAGCTGAGGAGGCCAAACAGAGACATGAGAGCACGGCCCAGTTCCCACCCAGCCGTGCACATTTCTGTCTTGCTTGGCCCCACTCCATCCCCTTACATTGCTAGTCATCAGGGCTCCATTAGAGCTGGCTTCCATCTCTTCTGTTTCCATCTGAATGGGCTGCTCTCCACTCGGCCCACTGCTGTGGCTCAGCTCCTTGACCCTGAGGAAACAAGGTCTCAGATCCCAGGCACCTCCTTAGCATACACCAGAGTGCAGCACCACTCAGATGGCTAAGCTCGAGGCCTGAGCGGATCGAGCAGCTCTGCCTTTGGCCAAGGAGAGGCAGCCTAAATTGAAGCTGGAAAAGGCCATGCACTGTTGCCTCCCAATCAAGGACAGAAGGGCAGGGACAGCAGTATCAGGCTGTCATCCAAGCCTCAGAGTCACAGAAGAGTATACATTGGGCACTGAGGCCCCATGCTCCTCCCCTGTCGTTGCTACTATTCCCACCCCCATCCTGCCCTCCCATCCCACCCACTATAGGCGCTTGTACCTGTCTGCGTATCTTAGTGTATTTAGAGTGTATTCGCAGGAGCCGATGCCTGGTGAGATCATGGCAATCTGCAAGGACAGAATGGTGGTTAAAGGCTGAAAGCCTGCTCCTGAATGGATTTGAGAGGAGACTACTCAGGCTGCTGAGACCCACCTGGGATCAGTGGGAGAGCTCACTCAGCACCCATGCTGGGCTAGACAGCATATCCCATGGTGCTACAAATTAAGGTGCCTTAAAAATTGATTCCTGGGGCCAGCAGATGGCAGAGCAGTTATGTTGCTGGACTCCCACATAGTTGACTGTAGTTCAAATCATGGACCCAATGGCTTAAAAATCACACCAGGTACATGTGATCCCAGGAGGAGAATGGAGAAGGGAACTGCAACATGGCAATCCCCCTTGGGGAGTGATTTCTCACTTTCTCTTCTTACTGTCTCTCCGGCAAGTGTAAGCACTCTAAGGCAAAAACCTCTAATTGGGGACCAACAAATGGTGTGGTGGACGAGGCAGCTGGATCCCACAGGGCTGACTATGCAGTTAGAATCCCAGGCCTGGTGGTTTGAAAATCATGCGAAGTTAATGGTTATACCACTGGATTACCACATGGCTGACCACAGTTCGTGTTTCAGACCCAGCACCTTGAAACTCACATGGGGCGTGTGTGCATGTGTGCCCCAAATTCCGAGAAGAATGGAGAAGAGACTGCGGCACAACCATCTCCTCCTCACTTTCTGTCTCTCCAGCAAGTACATGTACCCTATAGTAAAAAAGTCTCTCTCTCTCTCAAAATAAAAAAGGTGACTCTAATTATCTTTAGCTTTTTTACCACTTTACTGAGACATTCCTGCCACCAAGGTCATATTCTCAAAGTTCTGGTCCTCGTGGAAACATTTTTTAAGGTTTTTGTAATAGGGAGTTTAGGTTCAACAGAGACAGAGAGAGAGGGAAAGTGAGAAATGACCCTTGAGGGATGACTACACTGCAATCCCTTCTCCTCCATTAACCTCTCAGGATTTTGGGCATGCACATGGACCTGGCCTGATTTTTAAGCTACTGGGACTCGAACCACGCAGATGGGCATGTGGGAATCTAGTACCTTAACAACCAGGGCACCTGGGGGCCCCTCCTGCTGCAAACTTTAGTTCACTCAGGCCAAAGGATAACAACTCAGGAGAGAGGATTTAGAATTCAGTCCACATCTCATGAAAAGGCACTAATCAGAGGTGGGAGAGGCCACTCCCTGGAGGGGCAGGGTGGCAGACTGGACCTAGAAGGGACTGGGGATAGAAAAGGGAAGGGGACAAACGTCTTTCAAGGCTGTAGCCTCCTCTTACTCCAGCTTATGTGCTAGGCTGGGAGCCACTGACCCTGAGAGAAGCTGGAGGAACCAAGGACCTCCCTCTCCTGCTTACCCAAAGGTCCACCCCTGAGTCCTAGAACCCCTTTTCACCAGGCAGGGGAACAGTGACCTCCCCCAAACCAAGAGGTTCACCTTCACATAGCAAAGTAGATTTGTTCCTCCCCTAGGGTAGATAATGCCTGGAAGCCCAGTCGGATAGGGCACAGAAACTCAAGCAGCTGGGGCAGGACTCCTTCAGCACCACCACTCCAGAGTGAGCCTACTCACCATGCAAGTCCTCGAGTTCTCCCCAATGAAGGAGTCCCTCAGCACCTGTGTCAGCTTGCTCTCACGGAATGGAGTGTGAGCCTTGTTCTGTCCCAGCGCCCTGATGCACTCCTGTAGGGCAACAAGAACAATGGAGTCCGCTTTCACCCTGTGCTGACCTCTCTCTCCAGCAGTCCTTCAGCCAACCACCTCTACTGGCCCCAGCTACCTTCAGGGCCAGAAGACTTTTGTTGATTTCTGCACCCTCCATGCGGGTCTGCCGGTCAGCACTGGAAGTGTCTGCACCTCGCTCGTTTCCTGCCAGGTCCACCAAAGAGAACTTGCCATGCATTCTCCCTTTGGCTCGAAGAAGAATCTGGAAGCAGGCGTGGGAGCGGGAGGAATTGGAGTTGGCAAACGTCTGCCCAGAGGTCCTATGGTAAAGGAAGGCAAAGAAAGGTTGAGCTTCTGAACAGCCCCATGGGTACTCCAAAGTCCAAGTCACCCCAGTCCATGGTAGTAAGTTCTCTGATAAGGGTAAGGGTCACAGGTCAAGTTCTATGTCTTCTTGTTCCCAGATTTCCACTGTGCTCTCCCTGGATAGCAACACTCCCTTCAGCACTAAACCTAATACATTTTCTTGGCAGCCAAATTAGAACTGGATTCTTTGTTAGAGACTTGACCAGAACTAGAGCCCCATAAGGACATGGGAAAGAAAGGCTGCCTCTGCTTCAAGGCACACAGGAAAGACAGCTAACATGAACCATTTGCTGGAACTGGAGGGCCATGAAGGGGGCAGCTTCCTCCCTAGGCCCCCACAGCTACCTGGCACCCCAGTGGACCTGACAGAAGGGTACATCCCTACTTGTGTCCTGAGGAGCCATGGCCCCATTATTTCCAGCCCAGAACAGACCCAGAGCTCCTGACTTCGACCACAAGGGGAAGGAAGAACAAGGAGAAACCCAAAGAAGCCAGGAAGCATGCCACTGGGGTAAGGGCCTTTGAAATCTAAGATGCTTTGATTTGGTTCAAATCAGTGGCTTAAATGATGAGCCTCTGGAGCTGGGTCATCTGTCCCATTGGAACCCTTTAAAAGCAAAGGCCTTGGGACTCGCAGATGACATGGTTAAGATGTCATGCTAGACTCCCATGTGGCTGACCATGGTTTGAGTCCTAGACCTGGTGGCTTGTTTTTTCACTTTCCCTCTCTCTGATAAGTGCTTGTGTCCTACAGCAAATCTTAAAATAACAGTAATAATAATAAATATAGTTAAATAAAGTTTTTTTTGGTCTGTTTTTGTTTTTTAAAAAAAGGCCTTCATAGCCCTTCCGAATGGGGAAGCAGCACCCTGTGCAAACAGAAAGGGGCTCAGAGCTAGACTCTGCCACCTGAACCAGAGATGAGAAAGGGACCCCTTCCCCTAGCTGGAACTCTGACCTGCAGGCGCTGCCCACGTCAATCATCCTGATGACATCATCGGCAGAGTTAACCAGGTGCTCCTGCAGCCCCACCACCTGCACCTGTTGCTTGCCATCCTCCAGTACGCGCAGCTTGGCCTTCTTGTTGAGCAGGTCGAATAGCTGTGACAAGCAGGGGGTGTGAGGCTCAGGGCAGCAGGCACCAGACGTCTCCCTGACACCTCCCTCCTACAGGCCCTGTCCTGGCCTAGATAAGGCTGGCAGGAAAGGGAGAGGGGATACAAGCTGACGGATATCGACTGGGATCTGATCCAGGGTGCCTCAGTTTGATGCGACTGCAGTGTTCCTTTCTGTGTGAGCCTGGATAAGTTACTTCACCAGTCTGGCCTTCTCACCTGTAAGGCTGAGGTGAGGGCTTAGACTGTGCTTAGCAAGTGATGATAAATACGAGCCGCTTTCATTACCTTAATCTCGCTCTAGGGAAGGCAACTCGGCAAAAGCATAGAGACTATAGGGTGGTAAAAAGAGATGGGGGGGCGGGGAGAACAAATATGAGAACAAACAAGCCCAACTGGGGAAAAAAGGTTATGAGGAGATGGGTGAACGCGCAGCTTGGCCTTCTTGTTGAGCAGGTCGAATAGCTGTGACAAGCAGGGGGTGTGAGGCTCAGGGCAGCAGGCACCAGACGTCTCCCTGACACCTCCCTCCTACAGGCCCTGTCCTGGCCTAGATAAGGCTGGCAGGAAAGGGAGAGGGGATACAAGCTGACGGATATCGACTGGGATCTGATCCAGGGTGCCTCAGTTTGATGCGACTGCAGTGTTCCTTTCTGTGTGAGCCTGGATAAGTTACTTCACCAGTCTGGCCTTCTCACCTGTAAGGCTGAGGTGAGGGCTTAGACTGTGCTTAGCAAGTGATGATAAATACGAGCCGCTTTCATTACCTTAATCTCGCTCTAGGGAAGGCAACTCGGCAAAAGCATAGAGACTATAGGGTGGTAAAAAGAGATGGGGGGGGCGGGGAGAACAAATATGAGAACAAACAAGCCCAACTGGGGAAAAAAGGTTATGAGGAGATGGGTGAGGGAGAAGGCACGTACAGGCAAACCTTCATCTGAGAGGGAGCCTGACGGGGAGTCCTGGTATTGCTGAGCTCGGGTGTCATCTCACTGTCAGAAAAAGCCTCCTACACGTGCCAGGGCAGAGCGGCCCAAAGGCCTGACAGCTAACAGGCTATCTGGCTTCTGTAACTCCTCAGTTTTAGAGAGTTCAAGGACCCCGACAGCATACAACAAGGCTACCTTTCCATTGTAGATCTCGAAGAACGTGACATAGACCTCCAGGCCCAGTTTCCGGTAGCGGGGCTGATTCTTCAGGAGGAAGACATCCCGGGCTGAGGGCAAGAGCCTGAATAAATAAGTAGCCGGCCTTTCTGGGCCCCACCCTGCTGTGGCAGAACACGCTACTTACAGGCCATGGCATAGATCCCTTTGGATGCATTTTGGGCTTTCCCAGAGAGGTCTCCACCCATAGTCTGCAAAAGGAAGGGGTAGATGATGGGGAGAGGGCCTAAGCCAGAGCATTACCAGCTCCACTGCCACAGGGGCACCCAAAGCCAGAGGATGGTCTGCTAAGGACCCTCCTGCATGTGGCTCAGCAGGGGCATCTGGTGATGGCGCCTCTGCACCAAGAGGCCGTTCTGCAAGAAACTCACAGCAGGCCTGTCTCCCTTCTCAGGGATGCAGTGTCACAATAGGGAGGACTTTCCCTGCCGAGCCTGAACACTCACGTGTGTCTTGCCACTTCCTGTCTGGCCATATGCAAAACAGGTTGCTTTTCCCCCTTCGAAGATCGTCTGCACTAGAGGCCTTGCTGTGAACCTAGGAGAAAGGTTGGAGAAGTGGAGAAGAGTGTGTCTGATCCCCAGGTGGACTCCCTGGTATGTGTTTCTGCTGCCCTTCTACTGCAGAGCTCCCAGGATCCTCAACACCTTCCAGCATAGCACTCTTCTCCCACGTCAGTGGTCCCAGCTGATCCAGCCTCACAAATCTGAAACACCCTAGTCAACTGGTGGGTGGAGGCTAAAATGACAGGCTAGGAGCAAGCTGATGGTCCACACTCCAAGTCATCCAGCCCCTCCATTGACCCTATAGACACGAGATAAAGCCTGAGCTTAGCAGTCAACTTCCAGCATGACACACACTAACGACCTGGGGCTGGGGACAGAAAATGGTGTAATGGTTACGTCACTGGACTCCCGTGTAGTTGACCACAGTTTGAATCCTGGACCTGGTGGCTTAAAACTTGTGCTGGGTGCATGTGTGTGCATGTCCAGATCCCAAGAGGAGAAAGGAAAAGAAGAGACTGTGGTGTGGCCATCCCACTGAGGATGATTTCTCGCTTTCTGTCCGTCTCTGTATTTCTGGTGAGCACATGTGCTTTATAGCAAAAATCTCTCTAAAAAAACAACAACAAAAAACCCAAAAACCAAACCAAAGCAAAACAACGTGCCCCCAAGCACATGTGTGTATGTGCCCAAAATCCCAAGAGAATGAAGAAGGGGTTACAGCATGACCATCCCCTCCCGCTGGGTGATTTCTCACTTTTGACTCTCCAGTGAGCACATACACACACCCTGTAGCAAAACTCTCTCTTGAAAAAAAAAAAAAGCCAGCAGGTGGTGGTGTGGTGATTAAGAGTGCTGGACTTCCCATGGCCAACTGCAGTTCAAGTCCCGACCTGGCAGCTTGCTTTCTCACTTTGTCTCTTCCTCTTTCTCTCTCTCTCTCTGACCTTCTCTGGTCAAATTAAAAATAAATAAATAAATAAAGTTAAATAAAGTAATTCCTAAATAAGTAAGTAGATAGGTAAATCAGTCGATCAATCTCGGGCCACAGTGGTGGTGTGGTGGTGAAGGCAGCTTGATCCCACAGGACTGACTGTGCGGTTCTAATGTAAGAGCCCATGGCTTAGAAAACATGCTGAGTGTGTGCATGCAAGCCCAAAATCCCAAGAGGAGAATGGAGAAAGGACTGTGGCACGGCCATCCCTCCAGGGCATGCTTTCTCACTTTTCTTCTCCCTCTCTCTGTCTTGGTCTCTCCCGTGAGCACACACACCCTATAGCATAAAAAATAAACAGAGACCAGCAGTTAGCGTAATGGCTATGTTGGTGGACTCCAATGTAGTCGACTGAGGTTCAAGTCCCGGACCCGGTGGCTTAAACTCACGCCGGGCGCATGTGCATGCGTGCCCAAGATCCCAAGAGGAGAATGGAGGAGAAGGGATTACGGCGTGGCCATCCCCCCTGGGGGGGGATTTCTCGCTTTCTGTCTCTGTCTCTCTCTGTCTTTCTGGCGAGCGCACTTGCCCTATAGCAAAAACCTCTCCAAAAAAAAAAAAAAAAAAGAAAAACAAACAACAACAAAAACGATAAAAAACTGGCCCAGCTGCTGTGGCAGTGGTAATGCAAGTATCCTGGAGGCCATTTGGCCAACTGTGGGTTTGGGTCTCCAGATGGATTTGAAAGGGGACTGAGGGGGCGCAGCGGAACCCTGAGGGAGACGGCTGGGAAGGGGATTATAGCATGAGGAGATCCTGTCAAGGGTGCTCCTCCCTCCCCATCATGCACATGCTATCATTAAACAAAACGAAATGCCCTATGGTAAATGAAATAATTCTTTAAAAAAATGTTAAAAAAACACACACACACAAAAACTATCCATGAGGGCCATATGTAAAGGGGTCATAATCCGGAGTTAGCCTAGAGGTAAGTTTGTCACCCTCTGGCTGACAGCAACTCCTGCCATCCAGGAGAACGTCCTATGACCAACACCAACACTGCCACACAGCTACTGATCACTTGAATTGTGGCTAGTGAGGGTAAGGAACTCAAGTGTCTCCCCAGAGGGTGTGTGTACTCACCAGAAAGAGACAGAGAGAAAGCAACTACTAACAGGGTGTGGTGGTCGTTCCACAGTCCCTTCCCCTCTGTCCTGTCAAGATTCTGGACACACACGTGCAAACGCACCAATTATGGTCTTCCAGGCTGCTAGGGCCGGGAATCAATCACTCAGTTGGCCAGTGGGATAGGGATTCTCCAACCACCAGGTCACTGGGCCAACCCAGGAACTGAACTGTACATTTTATGCAAATTTTATTTACATTTAAGGAGCCACAAGAAGCTAGTGGATGCTCTATCAGGCAGAGCAGAGCAAGAGTTCCAAGCCTGCTAAACCCAGTGGCAACGGGTAGCTGTTTAAGATCCTGAAAGAACCCCCAGAGTATAATAGGTAATGCCAAGCCAGCAGCAGAGCAAGAGTTCCAAGCCTGCTAAACCCAGTGGCAACGGGTAGCTGTTTAAGATCCTGAAGCCAGCCCCAGAGTATAATAGGTAATGCCAAGCCAGCCCCAGAGTATAATAGGTAATGCCTCACTCACAAGCTGTGCAGGGATGGGCTGTGAAAGCTGCAAGAGGGACATGGCAGGCCCAAATACAAGGCCTTCCCAGTGCTCGGAACCAGAGCTCCAGGCTCTGATGGCTGACCCCAAGGAAAGAGGAGAAAAGGTCAGGAAAGGCCTCGGAATTCAGTGTGTCTCTGAGCAGTACTAGATGAAAAAGTGAACAGGATTCATGGCCCAGTGGTTAAGGGAGCAAATCCCATACGGCTGCCTACGTGGTCAAATCCCAGCCTTGGTGGCTTGAAAAACACACTAGGCAAATGTGTGTGCACACCCCAAATCCCAACAAGATGGAGAATGGAGGGGAGGGATTGGGGCATCACCACACCCTGTTGGGGGTTGGGGGCTTCTCTCTCCCTCTCTCTCTGATAGACACAAATCCTCTAGCAAATTAAGGGGGAGAGGGAAGAAGGGGCCCAGCCGTGATAACACATGTTGCTAAAATGGTGTGCTCTGCAGAATTGGACCACATGTAAGGCCTAGGTTCAATTCCTGGTCCCACCAAAGGCTGGGTGTGCTGCTGTGTCCCTGTAACCCCAGGAACTAGAGAGGATGAAGCAGGTGGACTGAAAGAGGGAGACCCCTTCTTAAAAAAATAAATAAAGGGGAAAGCAGGTGGCCTGGTGGTTAAGTGGGCTAGACTCCCACATGGCCGATGGTGGTTTGAGTCCCGGACCTGGCAGCTCGTTAGCTCTCGCATGTGCTCTCTCTCTCTCTCTCTTTCTCGGTCTGTCCCTCTCTGGTCAAATTAAAATAAATAAATAAAGTTAAATAAATAAATAATTCTTTTTAAAAATAGAAAGAAGGGAAGTTAAATAAAAATAATTTTTAAGAAAAAAAGTAAGTTGGGGCCAGCAGGTGGCATGGTGGTTAAGGGTGCTGGACAATCACGTGGCTGACCATGGTTCGAGTCCCAGACCTGGCAGCTTGCTTTCTCGCTTTCCCTTTCTTTCTGTCTCTCTCCAGTCAAATTAAAAATAATGATAATAAATGGAATTAAATAAATGAATAAAAAAGAAAAAAGCAAACAAGAAGAGGAAGGGGTAGGGGAAATCATGAGGAAAAGAAAAAAGAAAGAGGTAGGAGACTAACCTGTAGACTACTTCATTTGAAGCCGTCTCATCGAATGCGAAGTCAAAGCAGAACGCTTGGTTCTCCAGGTACTTTGTTAAATCCACTTTTAATCTAGGCTCATGCACCAAGAGGAGACTCTTGCTAGGAATGGAAATCACATCTATTTCTTTCTTGGCCAATTCTGTAGAAGGAGAGTATTTCAGGGAGGACTCCCTGGACACAGCGGGACCTTTAGTCAGCCCAAATCTCTTTCTGAAAAATGAGGCTCACCTTGTTTATTCAGCGGGCGTTTCCGAACACAGACACATATCTTGTGCTCTTCAATCTGCAAGACAAAGGAGGCAGCCAACCAGCAAAAGATCAGAGCAGCATCATGGGGAGCTCACCCAGCCATCCTCCCGGTCCCACCTGGGCCTAGTCACAGGCCCAGGCCTGACATAAGCACCCTTGCCTCCCTCATTAGCTACCCTAGAGCATAAGAAGGTGGCCTGAATTGTGCCATTTTCTCACTCTGTGGCCTACTCATATATTATCAGTAAGTGCCTAGCCAGCCTGCAGTAGTGGGAGCGTGGGGTTGGAACATGTCTGCAGAGGTTCTCCTATCTGGCCACCCTGGCTCTGGCACGCCAAAGGATTTTATTAATTAATAATTAATGGATTATCTAGCCACCCTGGCTCTGGTCCGGCAAAGGGTTTATTCATTCATTCATTATTTTAAAAGATTTATCTTATTTAATTTATTTATTTTTAAAATTTGATGGGGTGGGAGAGAGAGAGAAAACCACCAATTCCGGAACTCGAACCATAGTTGGCCAGGTGGGAGTCCAATGCTCTCAACACCATACCACCTGCTGCCCCCCATTCATTCACGTATTTACTTACTATTTTTAAAGAATCATTAAAAACAATTCTTTCCTTCCTTCCTTCAATTTGACCAGAGAATGACAGTGTGAGAGAGAGCGAGAAAATGAGAGAGAGGGGGACAGTGTGAGAAAGCAAACCACCATGTCCAGGACCTGAAAGGTAGTCAGCCACGTGGGAGTGTCCAGCACCTTAACCACCACGTCACCTGCTGCCCCTCCCCTTTTTAAAATAATTATTTAATTTTATTAATTTTTTTTTTTTGGAGAGATTTTTGCTATCGGGCGTGTGCACTTGCCAGAAAGACAAGAGAGAAATAGAGACAGAAAGTGAGAAATCACCCCCCCCACACCACGCTGCAATCGCTTCTCCTCTCGGAATCTTGGGCACACACGCTCATGCGCCCGGCGTGAGTTTAAGCCACTGGGTCCAGGACTCGAACCGCAATCGACTACATGGGAGTCCAGCGACATAGCCATTACGCTAACTGCTGGTCCCTAAATTTATTTTTTAAAGACAGTTTTGCAATGTCATAATCTTCCTGCCTCTGTCTCCCAGCTGGAATCATAGGTGTGTGTGCACCACCACACTTGCTTTCTTCTAAGAAGGGCCTGTGTTGCCCAGGCTAGTCTCAAGCTCATGATCCTCCCTCCTGCACAGATCCCAAATCTCTGGGAGTACAGAAACACATCACCATGCCTGGCCTTTAGGTTAGACCAGGACTGAAATCGGGGCCTTCATGTGTTTGTAGCATCTTAGCAGCACATGCTACCTGGCCTGGCCCCACCAAATGGTGTTTAAAATATACTCAAGGGATGGGCTGGCAGGTACATAGTAGTTAAGGGCGCTGGACTACCACATAGTAGACCGCAGTTTGAGTTCGGACCTGGCAGCTTACTTTCTCACTTTCTCTCTCTCCTCTCTTTTTCTCTCATTCTGTCCTTCTCTGGTCAAACTAAAATAAATAAAGGTAAATATTTTTTAATATTATTATTTTTTTTTTTTTGAGAGGTTTTTGCTATAGGGTGCGTGCACTCACCTTTCAGAAAGACAGAAAAAGACAGACAGAAAGTGAGAAATCACCTCCCAAAGGGATAGCCATGCCGCAATCCTTTCTCCTCCATTCTCCTCTCGGGATCTTGGGCACGTACGCACATGCGCCCGCCATGAGTTTAAACCACTGGGTCCGGGACTCGAACTGCGGTCAGCTACATGGGAGTCCAACCACAGTTCAAGTCCTGAACCCGAAGGCTTGAAACTCACACCGGGCACATGTATGTGCATGCCTAAAATCCTGAGAGGAGAATGAACAAGAGGGGACTGTGGCATGGCCATCTCCCTTGGGCGGGTGATTTCTTGGTTTCTGTCTCTCTGGTGAGCACATGTACCCTAAGGCAAAAAAAAATTAAATAAAAATTAAAATCATACTCAAGGGTAAGTGAGGATTCCTGGACTCTATTCCTGCAGTTTCCCATTCCTGAGTTGTACACCTACTCGGGGAAAAAGGTAGACGTTCTTTAGATTTACTTACAGGATCAGTCACAGTAAGTGGATGACATTCCAAAGTAGCCCGAAATTCTTTAATCATCCGGGCAAATTCCCAGTTTGGAAAGCTGTTGTCATACTCCTATTTGGGACGATATGACAAAGAAGGGGCAGATGTTAAGGTGCAAAGGCTCTCACGCAGATTTCACAATGGCTCTCTGTGCCCAAGACCCTTCCCGTGAACAAAGTCCCACCCTAGACCAAGGCTCAGGAACCAAGCACAACGTCCCAAAGTCCCAGGGAACAGAGCGTGGCCAGGAAGCCAAGCCATGCACCAAACCGCCTCGGAACTGGGACGAGGGCCACGGTTCACATCGTAGGAGGCACAGAGCAGAGTGGCTTTGTTAGAGCAATGAACCCAACTAAGGGGGTTCTATTACAGTCTCCTGTCCTACCCCCCTACTCCCCATGATACACATAACTGGGGGGATTGCTGAAGGCATGTGACTGTGCCCAGCAACCCTATGGCCATTGCACCCCACACAATGGGCTTCCCACTGGACAATCAGCACCAACTCCTCATCTTAGTGCCTTCTGACAGCTTTCTGAATTATGTGTTCTCTGAATCCTGATGAGATCCAGTTCAATTTCCTGGATGTTAGAACTGGAGCCTCAGAAATGCTGGGCCCAAGTGAATCTGTTAACGCTGAAGGATTTCAGTTAAGGATGCCTGTCCAGACCCAAGTCCCAGCCCCCCAAGGAAGGTACCTGAGCTCGCTTTATCCTCATCTCTGAGTTCTGGGCCCTCTTCTCTTCTCGCTTGTTCTTCATTTTTTCCATTTCCTTCACAATACATGATTTCCTCCGAACTGGGGGGGAAGAAGAAGCCCACTCTTACTTGTCTAGGCAAGCTTAATCTCCCGGCTGTTTTACTGAGCTCCGGCCTTTCCCTGGAACAGGTCTTCTCTAGAGCTTTGCCCACAAATCACTACATGCGAGCAGCCACAGACACAGCTCTTGGATGGACGTAGCTGCCAAGTAGCGGTCCGGCAAGCGTGAGGTCAGAGTAACGCAACAGCGCTCCAGTCCTAGCTTGAGCTCTCTGGCAGCCTCTGTGGCTTCTCAACAGTACACAGAGGTGAATCCCTGTGTAGTCTGAACAGTCATCCTGGGATGCTCTTCAGGTGTCAGTCGGCTTTTGCGAAAGACTGGTTTCATGGTCACAGGAAAACATGCACCAAGTGACAGACAGGGTTGCCAAATAGGCCAGATCTAGAAGAGGGCATCAACCGGCTGTCCTACACTAGGGACAGAGCAGCAGGCAGCTCAGTGTCTACCTGATTTCTCGGGGTTTGTAGAGGAGCCACTGCGGAGGGAATGGACGTGCTCTTCTGCCTCCTTGCTGACCATCGTCAATGGTATTTCAGCCACTGCAGGGAAGGAGGGCCTAGGGGGGGCAGCTGTGGGGGAACAAGAGTCATTGGAGAAGCACGCAAATGCACTGCAGGAGTCCTCACCTGAGGCTGAGCTGGTCACATGGGCAGGACGGGGGCCGCTGCCTACCAGCTCAGCAGGGCACAGGCTTTCTCTCTCTCTCTTTTTAAAGAATTATTTTTAAAAATCTGACCAAAGAGAGAGAGGGAAAGTGAGAAAGCAAGCCACCAGGTCTGGGACTCGAATTGTCATCAGCCATGTAGGAGTCCATTGTCTTCATCACTACGTCAACTGCTGGCCCCAGAGCACAGGCTCTTCCAGTACAAGCAGAGCTTGGGCTTTTCCCTTCACCTCAGACCACACCCTGAACTTGACCACTCACTCTGCAAAGGCTGGCTCTTGAGGTCAAAATATCTTAATCGATGTGTGAATTGCTCAAGTATGGGCTCAGCCACAAAGGGAAAAGCATTTGGAGGCCTGAACTCTTCAAACCTGACCCAACTGTGAGTCTAGAGGCCACACCAGGCCTTCTACCCATTTGGGAGAAAAGCCAGAATGACAGGGAACTTGGGCAACTAACCATAGAGACACAACACAGAACAGAATGCTCCACAACGCCTCCTGGCTTCCAGTCCTGGTCATTACCCTTTCATTTACATTTATCCTTTTGCAGCTGATCTGATACATGCAAATTGTAATGACTGCGTATGTCACAAAAACCTGCATCTATTGTATGGACATATGTATTTTAGTTTTTGTTATAGGGCATATGTGTTCGCCAGAGAGAGAAGAAAAGAAAGCAGTCACTCCCCAGGGAGGCTGGCTATGCTGCAATCCCTGCTCCTCCATTTCCTTCTTGGGATTTTAGGGACACACACAAAAGTGCCTGGTATGCTTTTCAAACCACCTGATCAGGGACTTGAACTGCACACCTGGCCATGTGGGATCCAGTGCCTTTATTTTCACGCCACCTGCTGGCCCCTATTTTATGTACTTATTAAAGATTAACAACCAATGCACTTCAATTTTTTTAAATTCCATTTTATTTTAAAAAAGCTAACTGATGCTATTAGAAGTTAGGATGTAGGTATCCTTGGTGGGTGAGAAACTGGAAGGGTGCCTGAAGGGGACTTCTGGGGTGCTGATAATGTTCTGAACTGGGTGCCAATTATATGAATGTATTCGGTTTGTGAGAACTAATCGATGTACCTATTTTCTGTATATATTGGGTTGCTGGCAAAGTCATGCACATTTTTGCAAAGAAAAAAAAAAAAAGCAGAAAAATACATCATGACTTTTCCGATGACCCAATATGGTATGTTGCAATCAAATTTAAAAGCAAAAGGAGGGACCAGCAATCAGCGTAATGGCTATGTCGCTGGACTCCCATGTAGTTGACCTTGGTTTGTGACCTGGACCCAGGTGGCTTAAAACTCACGCCAGGCGCGTGTGTGTGCATGCGTGCCCAAGATCCCGAGAGGAGAATGGAGGAGAAGGGATTGCGGCATGGCCATGCCCCCTTGGGGGGGATTTCTCGCTTTCTGTCTCTCTCTGTCTGGCGAGCGCATGCGCCCTATAGCAAAAACCTCTCTCCCGCCCCCCTCCAAAAAAAAGCAAAAGGAGAGGAAGCAGGGCTGACAGTCAGCACCGAACATTGCAAAGCTAGGGAGAGGGAGACCCCAGGGTATTCCAGCACTAGGACAGGGCACATGTGTAGGCCCTGCTCCAGGGCCTCAAACCTCAAATAGGGACTGTGCTTCCATTACTCACTGGGAACTGAGAACTGCTTGCGGGAGTGTGCAGATGCTGGAGGTTCCACCTCCATGTCATTCTCCTGAGTGGTGATGCGGATCTCTGAGATGGCGGACATGCGAGTGGTGCGGCCGCGAAGACCTAGAAGACCAAGGGCAGCAGCGGGTTAGTGCTGCACAGTCGGGAGGGCTGCACGGTGGGAGGAGGTCAGGGCAGCTCTCCTCCCTGCACAGGTGAGACGATCCTGATCACCAGGACAGGAGCTTCTAGCTTCCCACTCCTTTCACCCACAGAAGAGGAAAATTAGACCATGTACCAGTGACCCTCCCCAAACTTATTTGTCCAATTCTGCAAATCACAGACCTCCTGAAGGCAAAGATATCTCCCATAAGAGCACATGTTTAGAGAAATGGAGGGACCTCTAGCCAATCCGCGATCATTTCTGTAGATCTAACCTGAGACCTTGAAAAAAAGCATTATTAATCTTAGCAGCAGCAGTACCTGCCTTTCTTTCTCCCTTAAAACAACAGTGTAAGGTAAATATCAGTAATCTCTCTCATGGAAGAGGGCATCAGGGTGCAGAGACATTAAGTAACTTGCCCAGTGTCATTCAACTATTGATATACGTCAACTGCTGATCCCAACTACTGATTTTTTTTTTAAAGAATTATTTTAGGACCAGCACATGACATAATGGTTATGTTGTTGGACTCCCACATAGTTGACTACAGTTGGAATTCCAGACTTGGCAGCTAAAAACTCACATGCCAGGACCAGCAGATGGCATAATGGCTACGCCACTGGACTCCCATGTAGTTGACTGTGGTTTGAGTCCCAGACCTGGTGGCTTAAACTCACACCGGGCGCATGTGCATGCATGCTCTTGATCCCAAGAGGAGAACGGAGGAGAGGGGAATGTGGCGTGGCCATCCTCCCTAGGGGGTGATTTCTCGCTTTCTGTCTGTCTCTGTCTGACAAGCGCATGGGCCCTATAGCAAAAACCTCTCCGAAACCAAAACAAAACAAACTCACATGCCTACTTGTGCACGTGTGCCCAAGATCCCAAGAGGAAAACTGAGAAGCGACTGCGGCATGACCAACCCCCCCTCCCCCCCCGGGGTGAGTTCTCATTTTCTGTCTGTTTCTCCAGAGAGCACACATGCCCTATAGCAAAAATCCCTCTGAAAAAGAATTAACTTTATTTATTTAAATTTGACCATCAGCTGCACTGTGAACAGCCAGACCTGGGTGATGCTATGCTCACAGTCCCATTCCAGAGCACACTGCTGTGCTAAGCCCTGATAGAAGAAAACAAGCCTGCCAGTGACTGACTCCACTTGCCAAAGCACCAAGCTCTGGTTCTACAGGAAAGGCTTCTGATCCAGTCAGCAAATTTTCCAAACGTATCAGGTCTGTTAGAGACTGGCCTAATATTGGGTCGTCAGAAAAGTCATGGCATATTTTTCTATGCCAAAATGCGTCCTGACTTTTCCGACAACCCAATGGTTGTACACTGGATTCTTCCCCACTGAGAGAGATGTGTGGAACACAGGGCAGGACTCAGCTCGCAGAGAAGCCACAGCTTCCACAACTGCAAGCCCCATGACCATCATTCCTGGCATGAACGCCACGACAAGAGGCCAGCAGAAATGCCTTTACCTTCTTTTGGAGCAGGAATTTTGGAGTTGACTGATCTGCGCTTTTGTTTCTGAAATAAATAAATAAATAAATAAATAAATAAATCACAACATATGGTTCATTTTTCAAGGGTCAATCCCAGGCCCATGTGCTAAAGTCCCAGAAAACAAACAAGCAATTGCCAAGAAAGAAAGTGAACCCTCTGGGGCCCTGGCTGAAGCGAGATGACAGGGGCCTACCTGGACTGTTACATTTTCCTGCAGGGGCAGATTGTCCTTGGGGTGTAAGGGAAGAATCTGTAAGAGTTCTGGGTTTATTGCAGCCACATCATCAAAATCAACCTGCAAGGAGCAAGTGAAAGTTCAGTGAAACAATATCGCTATTCAATCCAAATGTACCCCAGCAACCAAGGCCACCCCTCGATTCTGCCTCACCAACTAAGTACTAATAACTAGAAAACAAAGTTATTCGTTAGTAATGGTTTACCATCTAGATGGATATGGATCTCTGAGTTCCAAGCCAACGGTAGGTATCGGTGAAGAGAACGAGGTGAAGAGGGAGGCAGAGAGGCAGCAAACAGTCGGTAGTCCACGGTGGGTCTGGGCCACGTGGCTCCCCTACTGTTCTGCTGGGCAGGGAGGTCCTGCCGGGCACAGCCCCTGAGCACTTCTTGCTGGGTGACACAGAGGAGGAGACAAGTTCTAACTGTCTGGTGATAGTCAAAATGGAGGGCCCTTTAGGGTCTTATGGGCAGGGACAAGTTCCGGACAGCTGCTAACTAACCCTAAGTCTACCTACATTTTCTACTGGGCCCAGAAACTTCTTCCCCAGTCACGGCTGCCAGCACATGCCTTGCCTATTTCCTGCTTACGCCCATAACGAGGTCACAATTCTAGGTTTACATCATAAGAGTCCTGCAACCCTCTAGGAACAACTCAGACTTCACCAGCATAACTTTATAGCAGATTCAAACACATCGGACAGGTCCTAACTTGGTTATTTGCACTTAAAAATATGACAGAGGGGCCAACTCCTTAGCACAGTGGTTAAGTGCTATGCATGAAAAGTTAGATCCTGCATGGCTGACTGAGGTTTGAGGCCAGGTCCTGGAGGTTTGAGAGATATGTCAGGCACATGTGCATGCATACCCAAATCCTGATGGGATGGAGAAGTGGAGAGGAGAAAGGATTGCAGTATAACCATGCTCCACTGGGTGTGTGTGTGTGTGTGTGCTTTCTCTCTGTAGTGTTCACATACCAACAGGCAATACAAAAAAGTAAAATTAAAAACGTCAGGGAGCTAGCAGGTGGCGTGGTGGTTAAGGCACTGGACTCCACATGGCTGACTATGGTTAGAATCCCACACCCAGCAGCTTAAAAATCACACCAGAGGGACCAGCAGTTAGCGTAATGGCTATGTCGCTGGACTCCCATGTAGTCGACTGTGGTTCAAGTCCCAGACCCAGTGGCTTAAACTCACGCTGGGCGTGTGTCCGTGCGTGCCCAAGATCCTGAGAGGAGAATGGAAGAGAAGGGATTGCGGCGTGGCCATCCCCCTGGGGGGTGATTTCTCGCTTTCTGTCTCTCTGTCTGTCTGTCTGTCTGGCG